ACATGTATCTTCACATGTAAAGATATCATTTGTAGTATTGCCCAATCAAAAAGGTACTTTCTATACACTGGATAATTTTTTCGATTTTTCATTCAGATCAAGCGACGCCAGAATACATATTTATTTCGGGATAACTTTGGAATATGCATTATGGTATTTGCATGACTACACAATTGATATCATTTTTATTTGAAAAGCTTAGCAGATAATTGCAGCATACGAAAGAATATTGCGAAAAGTAACCAATTTGGAGCTCTGCCTTATTGTCCGCTACGGCCTATAAAATCGGGCGTCAAATATTACTCTACTGATACCTGCACTTTTCTGATGTAGTGATATTTGCATCATGCCATTTTTAGAAATGTTCCAGTTGAATGCTTTTAATAATGACATTCAACGGGAAAACATTAAATATTCCCTTTTTTAATTGATGATTATATCAGTATATACAAACGCATGTGTAATGCATTTTAGAATGGGAAAGGGTTTTGCTGTCATAAAATGCTATTGAATCTAGGTAAATAAAGGATTTTCGAAATGAAACTTAAAACACGTCGGAAAGTTACAGTTTTACTGATAACTTAGCTAGCTTCAATATAGACATGGGGCAGACAAATGATTCCGCCGAACTACTTTTACACTGCTGCATAAGGAAGCAAGAGGTATGTCCTCTTACATGAGTATATTAAAGTAGAAAGGCATATTTTTCTCTGAAGTACTTCCCTCACACATCTTTAATGTACGTGCGTTAGAAACGGGTTTATCAATGTTTCATTGAAATATTTAAATCAGTAACGTATTACTTTTATATTCGATAAACTATATTCAAAAAAGGTATGTTACAATTTGGAATGATTTTACGGAAAATATCAATTGGTGCAAAGTTTTGTGTTTAAGTTAAAATTATCAATATGTTGTGTGTAATGAGTGTAACGTCCTGTTGTAGTATTTTAATTAGATGATATACATTTTTCAGCGTAAACTGAATAAAATGCTATGTTTTTGTGTTTTAATTGGATTAATACCTATTTTGATTGTTTGTGTTCATGTAGTTGTACATAAAATGTCTTCTTTGACAACATCTACGTAAACAAACTGTCTTAAAACAACCAAATCGTCACATATACATAATAGAAAATCACCATAACATAATATACCGAACCGAAAGCTGTAGTTGTTTTAATGCACAATGTACAATTGGTTAAGTACGCATGATGTAAAAATCGGTCCTTATTTTGAATCAATGACTAAATGGGTTTTCTTAATTTTCCATATTTTTCAGATTTCGTCATTATACAAAAAAGAACAAAAGAATCATCATCGATTTTGATCTTCATTGAACATTTATAAGAAAAGGGCGATACCTTGAGCGAGGTAGCTTTCTGTGTAAGACGAAGGAGGCAGCATGACATTTATCCTGACCAAAGAACACATTCCATCCTAGTCGGTTATGAGAAGAAGGACAAAAAACCTAGAAAATTGAACACTTTCTGATATGTTTTTTTATTGATATAGTAAAGGTTATTGAAAAAAAAAAAAAAAAATGATATTTGATGTGACTTTTTGAAATAAAAGTTAAAAACGCTTATGAATGAGTTCTCTTTGAATTTCCTTTCCTTCCATAACTAAATGTTATTTCACAAATTGATTTACTAAATCATGTTAAATTGCCTGACTTGTTTGCGAAAGTTTTAGAACCACATGTAGGATCTCTCAGTCTTTAAAATTATTTCACATGATATACAAAGTATTTTGAACAATTGAAATAGCGTCTGCTAACTTTTGTTGATTTTAAGCCCAACACTCTTTTTAAAAGACAAATGTTCTTCCGTTTTATAGAACAACTAGTAAATATATACTATAGAGTAAGCCAATATAAATTCATTAGCAACATCAGAGATCACTGGATAAGCTATTTTAACTGGATCACCTTGATATAATGCTAAAAGCAGCATTGATACGACTTCCCCTACAGTTTGAATATAAACATGAAGGAAACAAAACCAGGAAGAAAACAAAAGAAATCAAATAAATACTAAAACAATTAGGCTGTACATCATGAGCTCAAGCATGTTGCCAAAGGAATTATGGACACGGCTTTTTCAACAAACAAAAATTTGTTAAAATGACATTAGGCATTACCAATGCGTCTTTACAAGGAACAACAAAATTACGTTGAAAAGTAAAAACAAAAAAACAATAAAACAAAGCTTTTAATTTCTTACATGGGATCTGTATATCTAACACAATAGTAAAAGATTGTTTTTATAATAGTAAGATAAAAATAGGAACACGTAATGGAAATAACCGAATATCAGTTTACCCGGAACGAAATCGATCGGTACAGCGGCATATTGTCCAACGCAAAAATGTAGGAGGAGTCTGAGAAAGGTATAATAAACCCAAATAGTCAGTCTAATTTTATTTCTATACATTTATTTCGTTCCTAAGCGTTTAAAAGGGGAACTGGTTGAATAAACTAAAATGGTAGCAACAGCATTAATTGTTGGATTTTCGGTTTTTGGAGGAATAACTCTGTTTAGTGTGATAATTGGATGTATTTATCAATGCTGCAAAAAAGATTCGAGGCCTCGTTTCGGGAAATCTTGCGACCCGAACTGATACGGTAAATCATTTACTTCTTGCTTTGCTCATATACCAACTGTAAAAGTGTTGTATTAATCTTCATTTCTTTTAATTTATACAAACGTTATTTTGATTACTACTTTTGTGGCAATCGATAGGCTAATATTCCGTTAAATGGGTTATCTATACCTGATGTTTAAGATTGTAACAAGATACTATACCGACCAACTTCGAAAATTAGCACGCTTATTCACATTTTAATATTACTTTTGACGAGATTGATACAATACTTTATCAACATTTAATACTATTGTAGGAACCATTCACACTGGAAAACCAAGGAAAGGATTTGGTGTTTATGTGGTGTTTTTTTTTACTGTTTCATAGTTTTGTGAAAATTATTTTAAGAGTACAAATAGTACAACACATACACTGTTGTGACAACGATATAACTGACGTTTAAGGTTGTCACATAATAAAAAATCCCGAAATAACTTTAAAGAAGTGTACGCCTATTCACATGTAAATTTTGTATTCTTTAGGGAACAAATTGTGTATATTATCACAAAAAGATTTTGTTAAGATATCATTCGGGTTGTCTATTCATAGCTTAAAGCATGCCTAATAAGGTATGTACCATGGCCATGCATGATTATTCAATGATTACGCAATAGTCAACGTGGTGGAATTCAAAAGACCAATAGGAACAGTTGCCACAACAATAGTACAATCATATCTAGTCAAAGATACGTAACTCTTTGAGTTGTGGAAATCCCAAATGTCTGCTGCATTATTTCCCTCGGTTTTTTTTCTGAAAATTACCACACTTATATTTAAGCATTTAACGGGTGTGTTTTATAATTTTACATAACCCGGTTGTACATACACTTTAATGACTAAACTATATCAGGTTTTCAGTGTCGTAGCAAATACAAATCGATAATGGGAGTTACGGTAGTTGATTTCATGTATGCGCTTATCAAGAACAAGAATTAGTATATTTAATAACTTTATCATTGTAATCGGTATATTTTGAAAGTTCCAGTAACAAAACCTAAACATAACACATAAATCAATGAGATATGAAAATGTCATTAAGTAGTAAATGACTGTTGTGACATTAATAAGCCATAAATAACAATAACAAACAAACCAATGCTAGTTATTGATACGATAACATTACGTAAAAAGATCCTTGTTCTATTATGTCATTTGCTACCCTATACTAGTGGTCAATTTTGCAGTTATTTTTCCTGGTTGTCAGAACCAGTTTTCGGGGGTTTAATTTCGCTGAAAAGTAAGTCAAGGTCATTTATTTGAGCACACTTTACAGCACGCTTTCTCAGGTACCTACTGGTCAAATATCATTACTCTTGACCTCCTGGTTATTCAAGAAGAGGTTGTTTGAAGGTTCTTAACACTTTTAACCTTGTGACCTTCAAAATAGGTAAAGGTAATGTGTAAGGTCCTCCAGTTCTTAAGTCAAAATCAGTTGACTGACGACGCACGGACGACAGACTACAGACATTTTAACTGTGTTGATAAGTATGTATTTATTGAGAAGTATGTATTTATTTAGTGTTCCACTCAATCTCACTGATCAAATTAAACGGGCAAGTTAAATGGTTATGTGCAATATAATTAAGTTGGATAAAATGGTCTTTCATTGAAAACGGGTATATATTTTGAAACCTTAACGTTATCTAAAGTTATATTACGCCGTAAAGAAACAAAGTACAGAAATGTGATCAGAGCAGTTGCAGCATTGCATGTCTGTTCTGGTGGAGATTTTTTTTTTGCGTGTGGACGTTTAGAGAACAGCAAAAAACATTGGGAATGGAAATAATAGGAAATTTCGTAATTTAGTACTTTCCTACGTTACATATTCCCATTTAAAAAACTCATATGTCTTGAGCCAACTTGAGATGTTTTAGCAGAACCTTTTTTTTACCGAAGCGACATTGACCTACAATCTTGAGTGATACATCCAAAATGTATTCGTTTAAAAATGCAATCAACTTTAGCTTTGTTGTAAGTAACTGAAACAGAATTCTTGGAAGCTTTACCCATTTTTAACTTTCGAAACATTAAGTAAAATCTGATTACAAATTCACATCCAAAAAATATAATTTCAAAATATTTCAAGTGTCATATTTTAAAATTAAGCGTATAGTTGTGCTCAATCTACATTCAACGTTGTACAGTGTAGCTCAAATATCAAATAAATTCTGGATTTCCCAATAGGCGGTCATGCGCAACATTGCCTTATATATGCAATATTCATACAATATGTAAATGACGTGAAAATTTCCATGAAAAATGGTATAAAAGTCGAAACTTCAACATTGTTTTCAAAGTTCAGCAATGGCATCAGGAAACTGCGTAGATAGCTTCCTCTCTGCATGCGGATGTTTCTGGACTTGTCTTTTTTCATGTTTAACATGTGGATTGTGTAGGGACAATTCAAACGGATGTCATGGAATATCGTGCGATTGTAATTAATAGAGGTAAAACTATAGTTTATTACGTTACATACTCACATATACGCGTTTAAACATGCATATCTTCTTTTTTAAATCATTTATTGGCGTAGTTATGTAAGGTTTTAAAGGGGAGTTTTGCCCAGAAAACACCAACACACAATGTAAGATAGTGTAACTCAATACTTGTTTTAAAATCAAATGTGTTTCAGTTCTATGTTTTATTTCTATCTTGATTTCAAATCAATTTTAGGTTTTATGAGTATATTAAAATGATATTTTTGCTGGTTTTTTAATTATCGACAGAATATTTTTTTATGTTGTTTGTGCCAACAATTGATTTATGATATATTGCAATACCAAATGATTTATTAAGTATTCCCGTTTACATTAATTAAAATATTTCATTCAAAATGTTTGCTTTTTCTATTAAAATTCTATCTGAAAATTGTAACGTGTGTATAAGCAAATTCATATTTTTTTCAATTATTGACAGATCACTTTTTGTGTTGTTAGACAATTAATTCCATAAATATATTACAATACTAATAAATTTACCCAGAAATTCCCATATAAATTAACTATTACAGAATTTCAGGCTGTTTCCAGAATACGCAACACTATGATATATGTTGTGAGGTGTTGTTGTGTGTTTAGTTTAGTCTAAACTTTATTATCGGTATAATATTTCAGTAATACAAACCTGATATACATATAGGATTCGAAAACAAGTACAAAGTACTTATGTTGTGTGTTTGACGTAAAAACTATTCTGATACTAGTCTACTATGATAATATTGAACAGGTTGAAGGCCACGTATAAATAGAACGTGAGAGCATGCGCAATTAAATCGATGATTTGCTTAAATTATTTTTGAGTAGGGAATTTCCACGAGGGTAGAACGGTTTATGATAAAACTACGCCGTAATTCAAATTTCCATAATGCCTTCAAGCAACTACATCATCTTTAATCGGTGCAGCTGCAGCATCCGCTGTTTATATGTTTGGTGGTTTTACGAACGTTGTACATGTAATTGTGTATGGCACAACAGGCGTCGCAGGAGGAGACGCCCGCGTACGGGAAAGACAAACAATTATAATTGATATGAGGGAGAATTGTACTTACTTAAGGTATATACTACTTACGTTATCCCAGTCGTAATATCCATTTTAAAAAGCATTCTGCAGTTTTAGTATTAATATGTTTTTCTGTTTAAACTTGTGACACCAACGTGCAATCTCGAAAGGTGTTCGCTCGTAAGACAAAACGGTTCAGAGTTCCTGTTCAGCGAGTGGGACAGTATTCTGAGAGTTCATTGCTATTTATATGTTAAGGAACAAATCTAAAATTTAAAGACAAAAGTACGGTTTGTGCAGGATCCCCATCCATCGATGATGAGCAGGGCCGTTATTCATGAAACCTTTCTCATGCTCAAGCATGGATAATTTGCTCAAACCAACTTTCTTGTAAATCAGTTAAATCATGTCAAACGATTAAAACGTCAAATGTAAACATTGAAAACAGTATTCGGCTTTAAAAATCGTTAACTGTTCAATACAACAATCACCCTACTGCACTACATTTCGTATATGTATATATGCGATCTATTTCCAAAATGTTATCAAGGGGAGGCAACGCAAACAGCAAATTTATCTTAATTCATGCAAAGTTATAATTTTATATAAATTAAATCATATTGTGTATTTAATTACAAATAGTTTTATTTAAAATAGTTTATCTGTCTATTTTGATTTTAAATGATTTATTTTATGTTGTTGATTTATTTATTTATTTATTTACTTATATATTTATTTTATTGTTGGAATACTTTTATTTTAGATGTTACTTTCGTTTACAATTATCACATCATATATCTTACAATACGAACATAATTACAAGTATATTTCATTTAAAGATTTTCATCTAAATGTGGCATAAATCGAAAGTATCACTGGAGCAGTATAAACAAAAAAAAAGGATGATAGCTGCAGAATTATCTTTGACTTATACAATTTCTATTTCTAGTTGATGGTAGACGAGCATGGAGGGACGAAGGTTTACACATTTAAATACTGATTTGGCATGTGGAAGAAGCGGCATAACTAATCATCATCTAAATAGGATTCGTCGGAACCTGGCAAATTCTGAGGGTAAAATACCATTCTCAAGTATGATACCAACACTGTTTCATATCACCCGGCCATAGTAAAGAGACAAGAATATAGTTTTTGAACGTGAAGAACTAAAACAGAACTAAACTAAAACATAACCGTTATGCAACCTAACCAGCTGTATCTAGAGCTAGAACTCGACAAACTGTTTGGAACATAACGTTTACAAGAATACTAAGAAAGTGAGGATGGAATAATTTTCGAAGGGCTCAATCTCTACAGCAGCTGTTTATGAAGTGCTCGTCAGAAGACCGTCAACTGCATTTCATCGTTCATCAAGAAGATCTCGTAAATCCCAGTCGTCTTTAAGGCGCCTACTGTCTACATATCAATCATTGCTTACATATGTATTTCATTTTTTTCTTATCATTTCAACCGCCTGATAACTAATATTAAGGAGGCTTTATGAATATGAAAATTGTTCGGTAGAAAAACAATAGGAATTTCTATCTTATGAAAATTTCGTTTGATAATTTTATTTTGAGTCTAAGACGTGCAAGCCTGCAAATAGTGTAACAATTAATGCTTCATTTTATACATTTCAATCCAACTAGACAAAAAATAACATTGTAGATGAAAATGACCAAATCGGAAACGGATACTGGTATCATAGTATTAACAAATTCATCTTTAGCAAACATATTGTATGTACGTTGTGTGATTTCATTGTTCGATGTGACTGCATGGAATATAGGGAATACTTGTTGATTTTTCGTACTGATGTAAAAGAATATGTAAAAACTTTCCAACAAAATTTATCATTTTCATATTGATAATGTATGAAAGACATATTACATTTTTTATCATAAGACCGAAAACAGTAGAACATTTCTGTCTGCAATAAATAAAACCAACTCATAATTACAGTGTTCTTTTAAACCGAAATCTTATATTATAGCAGTTTCATTTATTGGAAAATTAACTTTAACACTTTTTTTTCATCAGGTTCATAATTGGATTAGTTATGCTTAATTTTCAATGCTTTTCTAAAAATATTTTTGTTCTTAAACTTATTTGATGAATTATTTATGTTTTCTATGTCTTTTAAATCTGATAAGAATAAATTGTGATTGACTTTAATTTAATACACAAATATAAGAATTAATTTCCACTAAATGTTCATGCATGAAAGAGTTACCTCTCTTGAGACTATTAACAGATTCGATTACAGCACATGTTTTATATGTCTTATTTAAGGATCTCCGTTCCATTGTCAAAACGTTCAATAAGCAAAAGTAACTGTTGGCTTTGATAAATTATATCTGCAAAGAAAATTAAACCTTGCAGGTGTTTTTTTTTAAAAAAACAAACCAGAATTTTAAAGGCGAAATTAACAAAATATTATCAACTGTGTGTAAAAATTGCAAAGTTGTTTGAACCCTGGACCTCAAATTGTTAAACTATCGCTCTGACTAATAGAGCTACATGTACCAGTATGTTGCCAGCAGTGGAACAGTTATCCTTAAGAAGATTTTCTACAGAACACTTTTCGAAGATTGCTGAAATGAACTTATCAAAAGACTTCTATTCCTGACAAACAAAATAATTCCTAATATATTAGAAAATAAAAAGATTTCTTACAACTTAAAGATAAACTTCGAAATGTTTCTTTAATAAGGATTGGATGTTATGATAAGGTTGAATGTCACATTTTGAGCAAGAAATCTGAAAAAGAATAACTTTTCTTTCTAAAAGGAAATTCAAATGCTTAAATCGGAAAAGAGAAGACTGTCATCAACAATTGGGCACTAGCAATCAGAGAGAGAAAAAAATATAGGAAATGAAACGATTTATTAATTTTATATTAATTTTTATAAGATTAATTGATTAATTGAATTTATGAGTGACTGATGTGCCGTTATCTCATTTGTTTATTAGTTAAGTACATTCCCTTTCTCAATATTCATTTGTGTGTCTGGCTAATAAAAGTTCATTCTTCATTTCAAAATTGTGTGACCTTTTTTTCATTGTACTTAATCACATTATTCTTAAACACTACACTATATGTACAGTTACCTGGATGAACTTGTTCATGACGCACATACTCCAGTAGTAACTTACACGTTACTCTGAAGAACAGCATGCTCATATTTTTAAAATATTTATAAATAGCCCGAAATAAATACTTACAAACATATGACTACAGAATCGATCATTGGAAATGGATTGCTAGCGTACAAATAGACCCTTTGTAATTCGGACAAGCTCACCGGAAGTAACCCTCCGTAAGTAGCCACACTCTGGCAGGCTTCTGGGGGTAACATTCAATTGCTAATTAGCCCACGTGATCTGAGATTACTGTAAATCTAGTGAAATCCGGGACAATTTAGAATCATAACAGTTACAAAAACTACTGTAAATACTAACATTACGGAAAGGACTTGAAAAACATGTTCTTTATTTTTCATTCCCTAGTAATGCCATGTCTTCGATTTTGAGTACGAAGTTCCTTTATTAAGCTTTAAATATTTGAAAAACGTATTCTTATTTGAGATTATGAAGCACATTTTCTTATATGCGTTGGTTTTTTTTTGTCTTTTTATATTTCTACATAGTTCTACATTTTAATTAATGAGAATAATGGTTAACACTCTTGAAACAAAATATGTCATGGCCAATGAGTTTAAATAAACTATTACGTTTTCCTTCATCGGATACATTTACTACTTTTGAATATCAGAATGAGAGATATTCTTTTTAAAAGCTGACGAAACATAAAATCGAGTGCCATTATATACACATAAATCATTCTTTTTAATGCTTTAATTCTTTTCATTTATATCTTAGCTAAAAAAATGCTTATTGAAAGGGTTATAGATTGACTTAAATCACTGTATATTACCAGATTGGTTTTTTGTGATCGTCATTAACTATATTTAAGAGTAATTCAAATAAGATTTTTATAACATTGTCGACAACGCCAAAAACGAAATCTCTCCAGAACGAAGTTATTCACAATATGAAAAGATCACGTAATTTCCAATGGGTAATATCAAATTTTGTTATCTATACAATAGTATAATTAAAATATCGATAAGTGCTAACGAACATAGTATATATGAATCAATAGAACTTTTGACTTTAAATATAAAATCTCTTTATTTTTATTTTTTTTTCATTATGTTATTATCTAAAAAATATGTTTTGAAATTGTGATCTACTAGTTACTCCCATGTTGCTACATATATTAAATCATGTTATAAAAAAGAAACAGAAATGCATTCATCCTGAAAATGTAAATTCAAAATCTAAAATCTCTTAAAAGAAGTGAAATGGTTTCATTATGTGATGAGATATGAAACAACAATATACAAGCAAACATTTACCGGTCCTTAACCATCATTAATGCATAGATCCTGAAAATGTAAATTCCTAGTCAAGAATATTAACCTTTCAATACAGAATGATATATATGTTAACTGATATCATAACATAATTTAGTTTGTACGTAATTGCACGCAACCTGAAAATGTAATTCATAATGCAAAAATCTGTAAATAAAGAGCAACATAATTTCATGTGTAATGACATTAGCATTACAACAATGATATAAATCAATACATTCTGAAAATGTAAATTCACAATGTTAAAACTCTTAATAATTAGTAAAACTCTTAATAATTAGTGACATATAATAACGTATCAAATGATAATATAAACAAAAATGTGTGCATCCTGAAAGTGTTGATAATATAAACATAAATATACTTACCATGACATGTAAACTAATTAAAGTGCTTAATTTTCATAATATAATGTTATATATCAAATTATAAAATAATATGGTACTGTAAATACACCAATCGTTTATCGTGAAAATTGTTATATAAATTTTGGCTTATGCTTATGAATATAATATATGCGCACATAGCTGTTCACAATTTTGATGAAAGAGTAATCTCCCTTTGTGCATGAACTATTTCCAGCCGAGAACAGTACAGGTGATTTGTGCGTTATAGGATAATATTATGCTATTTCTATCGATGCGAAGGTTTATTTTATATTAGAACAGTTATAAACTAGTAATAAGTCAGTTATATTTCATCACAAGTAAGATGTAAATATATAACTGCAGGATTACTGAAACAGTATCATGTTATTGTTATATCACGGTTAGGTAAGAGAGCCACATATAATATCAAACGATTGTAGATGATAAACTTTGTTGGTCTAAAACTAAAAACAGTTTCAACTATGTTTAGCTAGTTTAAAAAAAAGTAAATAGCTTGATGTGTTTTCCATAAATAATACAATTTCGTCATAAAAATATTTGAATGGACAATTTTAAGGAAAACAGTCAGGACCAGGATAGTTATGAAAACTGCATGGTAACCTCAAATGATTCAATAAACTAGGAATTCAATACAGTAGGGAAACTTATTTTCGGAGAAACTAATGTAAATTTGCCTTTCATCAGCAGTTCCCAGTAAGCGTGCAAGTTTGGTTCCGATTGAACGGAACAATTGAGCTAGAAACTTGGGAACTCCGTCATAGACGAAATACATTAGTTGCTGCGAGAGTTACTTCCCTTTTATCTCTTTACACATGAAATTCGTGTGATATGAAACGTTTTGGTTGGGCTTTTTTCTTTTTAATTTAATCTTTGCAATACAATTAACTTTGGGAAAATAATAGAGGACCATAAAAACAGTTTTCATTTTGAACTTAAAATTTGAAATTAAAATCTTGTTTTAGATCATGTCACTTTGATATCATTAAAATACAATAAATAGAACTAGTTTCATAATTAAGATATTGACATAGACATAGCATACTATGCTGCAATGATTGTATTTAGGTTTAACTGAATTTATGTTCATGGCAGCGAACGCATCAGGCTTTTGAATTTCTATGAAAGGAAAACCCCTTCTTATGATAAAGACTAGTGACTCAGTAGAAATTGTTCCGTTTGAAATGTTTTCTTAAAATTGATGTTTTTAAACATAACGTGAAATATAAGTTTATCATGGATATATGAACTAAAACATTACATTCACGCTATGGTAGCAATTTCATTGATCAATTGGCAAATGTATTTGATTGACAGTTGTTTATACCCCACTTCCAGTACAGAACACTCAAAGGGAAAAACTAACCGTTAACTGAACTATATATCCGATGCCAAGCGTTCATAGAGTATAGACCGGTGAGCTGTAAGTGTTACATATAATATTAATATTTCAGCATTTTTATCAATCTATATCTTTCAAAAAGAAATCCATATATATTATTTAATCAGCAAAAACTTCACTGCACCGCCTTCCCTTCCCCTCACTGTCTCCCCTCTCTATGACAGAAAATCTTTATTTCCAAGTTAATCTTTCTTTATGATATACTGTCCATTTATTTTCATCTAGTTTATCTCCATTTATAGTAAACGAATTGATACAAGCTTCATTAACATGTTTCAGGATTCCGTTTCTAAGCAATAAATGATGTAAGTTGAAATGCAAATGTGTGTGTTCAGAACGAAATCAAGTTTACTACAACGTAGCGGCAGAACATTTCGCTTAATACATAGTATTTACATTTGCATGGCATTGTCACTAGATAACCAACTTGAAAGCTGTGTCGTTGATGAGACTTTAAATGAAAAGCACCACGAAACACAATTCTTAGCCAGTCAACACGCGACAATACGCTGTTCCAGTAATTGAACAAATTTGTTCAGACTGTCGATAAAGCGGGAATTCTAAATTCTAAATATAATTTGTAGATAAAATAAATGTGAAAGGCGGATAAAACATAAATATAAGCATTGAATTATTTTTGTATGGCGTTTATGATCTATTTGAATGACACACATTTGCAAGAAAAACTAATTCTGTTTAAATTAAAAAGATTATATATCTCGATGTCAAATGTTTTACGTCATGACAATGTATTGTGTATACCAACTCTTAGATATTTTAAAGCCGGGTTACCTGATTTTTCAAAGATAAAACGATTTAGGCATAACGAGATTTCAATAGATATTTTGTTTTTGGAAAAAAACAATCTTAATTCTTACTTGCTCAAGACAATGGAGGTAATGAAAACTACATGTTAATCTCAAACTTATTCCGAAATAGGAAATGAAATATAAAACGAATTTTTTCTTCTCAGAAAAAACAAACTATGTCAATTTGACTACCATCAACAGTCCCCAACTTAGCGTGCAAGAATGGTTCCGATTAAACGGAGCGTGTTGAGCTAGAATCTGGGAAGCTTCTTGGATAGACAAATAACACAGTTTCTACGAGAGTTATTTCCCTTTACTTTCAAAATTAAGGTTTAAAATGTTCTGTAAATATTTACTCCAGAAATTGTGTTTCTTATGATAACCGTTACAAGAAGTATAACGTGTAATGGAAGAAAATACACTATTTTCAATTTTGGCATAAAATTTGTTTTGAATAAGATATATTTCATACCATTATGTATTGAATGAATGCAATCACTGTCATAGTTCTGTTGTCATTGACGCCAAAATATCTTGTCGCAGTAAATCAGTGTTTCACTATTATATGGAGGTAAGTGTAACAGTCATGCGACTGATGATTAAATATCGAAGACTTTCGACTTGATAAAAAAAATGTCAGTATTAAACATTTCTTACGTTTGATAGTATTAAATATGATGCGAAATCGTAGTATGGTTTGGTTTGGTTTAATTTTGTTTACGTCCTATTAACAGCAAAGGTCATTTAAGGACGTGCCTCCATGTGTGTTGTGTATGTGTGCATGTGTGTATGTGTGTCGGAGACAGGGTCTGTTGGTATGCTTGCCTCCTTGTGATAGCGCGGATCTGATGCCGACTTTATAGTGCTATCGCAATGAAATATCATGCCGAAGACACCCTGCACAGCATTCCGCCCGATCACATTATACTGACAACGGGTGAACCAGTTGTGGCCATTGTCCTAAATACTGAACGTTAAGCAGGGAATAACAACTACTGTTTTTAGGG